ATATTTCTACCACTTTAATTTCTTCTTCATAGTTCAACCAAATATGTTCTGAATATTAATTAGGTTAAAAATATTATTATTTCTTACATAAAATTTCTACTAAATGACAAAAAATTTAAAGACGACGTGGCAACGCACGTCTATAGAGACTAGTTATTATAAAAGCACGAATAATTTATGCTAAATGTTGAACGACTAAAATATCCTCGAAATATTGATCGACTTTTATGCCCTTAAATATTTATATAATTTAAGGATCTAATAGTAAATTACTTAATGGTGTAATTCTTTTTCGATTTAAACTATACATATGTCGGCCCTACAAAGTCGATCCTACTTGAATTAGAAGTGCACGTTCATAATTTCCTCTCTTTCTTCTATTTACGTTAGATGCTACGATATGCTGATATGCAATATAATCAAATTGCATACATGGAGTTTTAACTTCTTCTTTTTTTGGTATTATGATTTGTTTTATTTTTATCAATCAAATTGCATACATGGTTAATTCTTAATTTTTATTTATTGTTGGAGATTATTTAGCTATTAAAAATTTCCTTGTCTTTGCTTGAAGAATAATGAGAAATTATTAATTTTATCTACCACAAGGATTGCAAATCACGACATCCAATCAAGAAGTGCAAACATTTAATATTTCTACCACTTTAATTTCTTCTTCATAGTTCAACCAAATATGTTCTGAATATTAATTAGGTTAAAAATATTATTATTTCTTACATAAAATTTCTACTAAATGACAAAAAATTTAAAGACGACGTGGCAACGCACGTCTATAGAGACTAGTTATTATAAAAGCACGAATAATTTATGCTAAATGTTGAACGACTAAAATATCCCCGAAACATTGATTGACTTTTATGCCCTTAAATATTTGTATAATTTAAGGATCTAATTGTAAATTACCTAATGATGGAATTCTTTTTCGACTTAAATTACATATACACCAACCCTACAAAATTGATTCTACTTGGATTAAAAAGGCGCATGTCCATAATTTTCTTTTAAAAAGAATTATTGTTCATAATTACAAAAAAAAAAAGTGGGAGAATAGGATATTTACGTAGCATATTGTAAAGTCAATACAACATTCTTCCTCACGATGTGTTGTATTTGATAAAGGAAGAGTCTATATGCTTAATTTCCCTTCAGTACGAGAATTTCGGAACGTGAGAATTTTGAGTTCTATTTGGAGAATGGAATTTTTTTAAAATTAATTTAGGGATCTTAAATTTTTATAAATATAAAAGAAAAATTTAGTATTAAGCTCTAAAAACATTTATAAGACTTTAAGTTAAAGTAAAAGAAATCTTACAACCCTTTAAAATCTTAATTTATATTAGTTCATATAAAGTTAAAAACTAAATTAAGTTAGATATCTTTTATAACTACTTTATGTTCCTAAATATTATGAGTTACTACATAATTATAATAATTGAGTCAATTTTAAAATATTAATTAATAAAAAATCATCAAATAATAATTTTTAAAATATAAATTCTAATTTAAAGGAAAAAATACGGGTGCAAGTTTCTATGAATATCTTTCTTTTACATGACAATAAAGTGGTTCTAATAATGCAGATGAGACTTGAGTAAATTTATCATCTTTGTAAGTTAAAACGATATCATTTTGAATTCAAGTATTCTATTTATGTAATACCATTAATTTCTAGATTCAAAATGATTTTCGTATTTTTATCACGTCAATTACTCTACAACGATCATTTCATCTTGTAAATAATTTGTTGATAAATTTAGTTAGTTGTTTTTCACATAAGAGTTCCGACTAAAGATTTACGTGCAAGCACGTACATAATGACTAGTTATTATAAAAGTGAGAACCCCAAAAGTTAAAAGTTGAATTACTAAAATGCCCTTTTAAATAACCTAAATTCACTACCGATAAAATTATAAATTACTTAATAATAGTATTTTAATTGAGAAGAAGAAAAATAAGTGTCTTTTCCAAAAGGTTGTGTCCTGTCAGTGGGTAACAATCCAACCGTTAGCCAATAAAACCATAAAGAAGAAACTAGCAACGCCAAATTGGAAGTCCATGAAGCGGGATTATGTTTCAAGAGTTACTTACTTTGGCGTCATTTATTCCCGTGTCATTCTATTGGATTATTAGAAATATAAAGGAAAATTATCAGCTATGTCCATTTATAAGTAGCTCATTATAAAAATTGGCCAATTGATAAAATATTATTAATATTAGCCAAATTAGCCAATTAGCTATTTGTAGCAAAAAATATCAAAATTTTGCTTTGTTTTGAGTGGGTGTTATTAGAATAGATTGGGCACAACTTAAGAAGCTTGAATCTCAGTTTTGGGATGATTTGGTGAAGTTTTGAGGTGGTTTGAATTGACAATTCGAAGTAAAAGCTGAACATGAAAAAAATGATATGTGTATCACACTGTGTATCATTTGTGTGTCACATATGTATCAATTGTGTATCACATGTATATCCATGTATACCTGTGTTTGTGATACATGCGTGATACATGTTTGATACATGTGTCGCAGAAGACTTTTTTGAACTCGATTTAATTACGAATTTTGATACAAAACCAGTCCAAATCACCTCCAATCTTCCTCAAATTTTGTATATTGACTTATCTATATATTTTCAATGAATTTCAACTATACCCATTGAAAAAGTTCCTTTTTTGTTTAGATTTTTGGAATATTGTATAGATTTTTGTATTTCATCACCTTATTTGCTATCCCGTCCATGAAATTTCCTTTCCGTCTTGTATCTAATGTTGCTAATCACGCTTAAAAATATGGAAGGTGATTTTTGCATGTGATTCTTTGAGAGAAAGAACCCTATTATTTGGTTTTTCAATTTTTGTTGGCTAATTTTGGTAAGTCTATGACTAATGGCTAGAGGTTGGTAAGTTGAGATTTATTTGGGACATTTGTGTAAGTTTCCTTAATTGAACTAGATCTATAACATGCTTCTTCTTCAGAGTAATGGCCATCTCATGTGAGGTTGAAGCCACACTCTCACTCTCATCATCGTCATAATCATTATCGAAATACTTTCTATACTCAATTTGTCACTGTTTTATGGGGTTCCAGAAGCTCAGATTGAAATATAAATGGTGGGAATATACGTGAATTCGGCGTGTAAGCGGCAAAAGAAGATTAGCAATATCTCATATACAAAGTTGCAAACTTTTTTCTTCACCACCACCGTTGCTAAAAATTGGTGGACATCTCACATATAGCAGCATCCACACTCCATCTACTTATTTTACACAAGAAATCCTAGATCAGTGTATTTTCAATTTGCGCAGTTATCTTCTTCTTATGTTTATCTAATATATAGTTTGTCTTCTACATTGTTTTCCTTTTCCAAAACCCACAACACCATTAACAATAAGGTTAAACAATCTACTTATTCTGATGTATGAGCTAATGAAAATTACTACTAATACTTTAATCTCAACAAACTTGATGTCTCTCTTGAACACAATTTAAATGAGTCTCGGATTATTTATGAGTTGGTCTAATATCCACGAGGACCAATGCATTGATGCCACGCATTTAGTTAAAAGTCCCACATATGCCATGTTATATTTCCGTTAAAAGGAGGGGTACTTTTGATCTGAAAATTAACTTTAAGGGTAATTCTAGCGCAATAGGTGGCAGATGGGCAAATTTTTTTTAACCCTTTTCCGTTAAAAAATTTTCATCCCAATTTAATAATGGCGCTTTGCTATTACAATTGACAAACTATGTCCTCCCCCAACAAAAACAATAGTAACAAGCCACGTATTTGCAGAGATATCTTTCATCACTTAAGACTCAATAAGGTAACGCAAAGTGGCAACTTTCGAAAGACAAGAACATTATTAAAAAATCAATAATTTAAAGTTTCGTCTTGAAGCGCAACAATCTCACCAAACTCTTAGGGAATGCCCACTCCCTCGTCACATGGCAATCTCAACGCTATCTTAGCGTACTATTCTGCATCTTGTCGCCTTCTGTAGCATTTTGGTATAAATAAGATGAGTTTTGAAGCTTTTTGATCATCCCAAACTTCGAATATATACCAAGTAAAAGGAGAGAAAAAAACAGAGGAAACAGATGGCAAGTTATTCTGCAAATAACAGATCCATCAGTTTGCCAAGCAGATCACATCCAGCAACTGAGAAAATTGAAGAGGAGTTCAGCAAGTACAAGACTTGGGAAAATTCAGCCTCACCAATTGCAGAAGCTGTTTACAATGGTTTACTTAGTTTGGGAGAGGTGCATAAACGCATGAGTGATCTTCTCAACTTGCCCCTGACTCTTCAAGCCCTTTCCAAGTGCCAAGATAAAAAATGGGTCGATGAAATCTTGGATAAATTTATGAGATTTCTCGATATATGTGAGACAACAAGGGAGCTGGTGTCACAGTTTAAAGAAAATGTTAAGGATGTTCTGTCCTTACTGAGGAGGAGAAAAGGAGATTTGAGCATCACCAACTACACTTCGTTTAGGAAGAAGATGAAAAAAGATGCCAAAAACTTAGTTACAATTTTAAAGAAAATGGATCATGAGGTGGTGGTTGCTGTAATGGAAGCTGATCAATTTATCTCAGCTGTTATCAGAGTGCTAAGAGAAGTTAGTACAATGGGAATTTCAGTATTCCAAATGGTGTTGGTTTTCTTGTCAGCCCCAATCTCCAAGCCAATTAACAAATGGTCTTTGGTTTCAAGATTGGTAAACAAAGGAGATCAAGACAATGTAAATGAGATAGAAAGTGCTGATTTTGCATTAAACAACCTTTTCAAGTATGGTTGTAATGAAGTGGAGAAAATCCAGTTTGCACAGAACAGATTGGAAAATCTGGAAGGTCATTTTGAATGCATTGAGGATGGCCTGGACAACATATTTAGATGCTTGATCAGATCAAGGAGCACACTACTAAATGTTGTCTCTTGCCAATGAAAATAGTACTCTACTCTTGTCTTTTATTGCATAAGCATCCAAATATTTTAGAATATGCTTATGGAATCCTTGCTATAAAGGAACAATTTTGTAATTACACATACAGCAATATATATATATATATACCTATACTTGCGAACTCTGTCTCTCTTTCGCTCGTCTTTCTATTTAATTTCAATTAAACACGATAAACATAAACATACTATGGTTTACTCCACAACATTCTTCCTTGAATGAACTAGTTACTTTCTGGTTCCGTACACATATATAGCAGAGATGTTTGAAATACATAATTTTCTTTCAAAACTATCAGCTAAAATAAGGAAATGAAATAAACCTAATATTAAAGGTACCTTAAGAAATTCCAATGCCCTTAATCTTATTGCAAGTAAAACGGTATGGAGGAAATGATCTTATGGATTCCTGATGATATAATGCTGATTTCTTCTCTCGGGTAACTTACATCTGAAGCTTCTTACATTCCAATTTCCACGGGTATGTTCAGTATAAAACGCAAAACAAGACACAAATTTGCAAGTTCCAAAGGGGATTTCAAGGTATCTCCTGTTGATTTTGCTTCACTAACTGCAGAAAGAAAAAGGAGCTACTATGCTTGACTTTGACGCTTTGCTAGTCAAGGTAAGGATACAAGTCAGAGCCACTGTAATATGTAAGGTACTTTTATGTCACCGCCCGGATTTTCCATCATCGGGAGTCGTGATGACGCCTACTGTTGGAGCTAGGCAAGCCAAACATTTAAACATTTTTCGGATAACAACATAACAATAATAAAATAACGAGTCTTTAAATAAATGCGGAAGTCTTCTAAAACATAAATAACTGAAAACCCAAAATGCGGAAGTCTAATATTTCACTACCCAAGACTGGAGTCGCTATCTCACGAACTACTAAAGAGTGCTACAAACAAGTCAGAATAGAAATACATAAGTGTCTGTCTCGGTACAATGAAAACAAACTGAAAACATAGAAAGGGACTCCGGCCTGCGAACGCCAGCTAGGCTACCTCGTAAGTCCCTGGACTGAAGTCAGCTCCCGAACAATATCCTACTGCTGTGGTCCAAAAGCTGCTCCGGTACCATGATCTGTGCAAAAGAGCACAGAAGTGTAGCATCAGCACAACCGACTCCATGTGCTAGTAAGTGCCTGGCCTAACCCCGACGAAGTAGTGACGAGGCTAGACAGGACTACCAAACTAACCTGTGCAGTTCAATATATATATATGCAATAAAAGGAAAGAACAAAGAAATTAAACAGTTAAGAGGGAGGGGAGCATACTATGGGGGAGTACAGTCCGGATATAAAATCAACAATTTAAATAAGAAACGGGGCAATAACAATAATTAATGAGAGCAGGAAAATCAACAGTTGCACGGCATCAACCTTCGTGCCTTTACTCTCATTCTCACCAAAAGCAATCAAATAAAGTGCACGGCATCACCCTTCGTGCTTTCCCTCACGTAACTCTCATATCATGGCACGGAATGATCCTTCGTGCAAATATAACCAAAACATGGCACGGAATGACCCTTCGTGCAAATATAATCAAAACATGGCACGGAATGACCCTTCGTGCAAATATAATCAAAACATGGCACGGAATGACCCTTCGTGCATTATCACTCTTCCTCACCCAAACAGTAATCACAACCAAACGGAGCGAGGGGATAAACAAATAATAAGAACTGTCCCGGCAAGGGAATTACACAATTAACAGCTAACTCCCGGCAAGGGAGCAACAACAATACTTTCACATCCCGGCAAGGGAAATAATCAATATACTCAAACCATCCCGGCAAGGGATTAATCATATCCCTTTCTATTTCTTTCATTTCTTACTCAATAGTCTTTTTATCGTTCGAGCCAACGCTCCAAAGGATTTGCAATTCATAATTNGATATCTAGGCATAATTAATTCAATAATATCAATAAAGACTCAATGGCAACATCCCATAGCCTAGATATGAATTTCCTAACATTCTTCCAAAAATACCAAATTTAGACACCGGGCCCACATGGTCCAAACACGAGGCTCAAACCAAAACCCAATCACCCATAACCCCACGAGTTCAAATATATAATTTGTTTTAAGATTCGACTCCAAATTGAGGTTGAATCACCCAAAATTCTCAAAACCCTAACTCTACCCAAAACCCTTAATTTCTACTTTGATTTCATGATTTAGGTCTAGGAATTTGATAAATGATGATAGAAAATGAAGAAACCGAGTTAGATAATACTTACCCAAGAAGCTTTGGTGAAGGATAGCTCTAAAAATCGCCTATGGGCTGTGGAGAAGATGAACTCGTGTGTATTATGTGAAATATCTCGTCACTGGTCTGTTTTTAGGCTTTTAAAATAACTGGGCAAAAATGCCTACGCGATCGCAGAAGAGGGGATGCGATCGCATAGGGTCATGTTGGATGTGCTTTGCGATCGCAGAAGACACATTGCGATCGCATAGAGTAAAATAAAAGGGGGCTGAATTTTGTACAATGCGATCGCGGAAGCTGTAATGCGATCGCATAGAAGGGTTTCTGGGCCTTGGCAATTTGCTCTATGCGATCGCGGCCTATCCTATGCGATCGCATAGAAGGAAAAACTGGGCAACAGACAGCAGCAAATTCTGCTGCATTTTCTAAGATCCAAACACCCCGAACCACCTCCGAAACACTCCCGAGCCCTTGGGGCTCCCAACCAAACACACACACTAACTCAACAACATCCTACGAACTTAACCATGCGATTAAATCGCCAAAATAACATCATAAACGAGGAATCAAACCTCAAAATCATCACTTTCTCATCAAATCTCATAAACTTTCAAACTTAGAGTTTTAGGTCCGAAACACGTCGAATAACGTCCGATTTCAACCAAACTTCACAGAAAGCGCTTAAACCATATATAAGACTTGTACCGGGCGTCGGAACCAAAATACGAGCCCGATACCACAGTATAAATTTCCATTTCCAATTTCCTTAATAATTTCAGAAAAATAATTTCACAGAAAAATTCATTCTCGGGCTCTAGACTTCGGAATTAGACTCCGGGCATATGCCCGAGTCCCATATTTTTCTACGGACCCTCCGGGACCGTCAAATCACGGGTCCGGGTCCGTTTACCAAAAATGTTGACCAAAGTCAACTTTAATCATTTTAAAGCCACATTTTGAAATTTTTCACAGAATTTAACATATAAGCTTTCCGGCTACGCGCCCGGACTGTGCACGCAAATCGAGGCAAGTAAAAATAAGGTTTTCAGGGCCTCGGAAGCGCGGAATGAATGAGGAAACAGGTGATGACCCTTTGGGTCGTCATATTTTAGTAGCTTTACCATACCCTTACACTCTATTTGGATCATTGCTCCCCGTTGTTTTATAATGTATTGTATTGTACTGTATCGTACTGTATTGTATCGTTTTATGAATACAATATTTGGATAGATTGTATTGTTTGTTATTGTTAAATAATATTTTGCAGTTTGGTTTGACTGTATCGTACTTTATTGTAACTGATAAGTTTACTAAAATATCCTCAATTATTTAAATATTAAATTTATCAAAAATTATGCATAAAAATAATTTTAAAAAATAAAACAGAAGGATGCAAAACACCTGAAGAAAGTAGAATAAAGGAGGGAGATAGAAGAAGACAAACCAAAGGAACACAGCTAATTAGAATTGAGTTAAAAGCAAATTAGGAGAAAAAATAAAACAGATGGCGGCAAACCACCTTTAACGTTGGCGGCAAAAGTTTTGAAGAAAAATAAAGTAGGTTATAGGTTTGAGATTTGGAGTTAAAATAGAAAAAAAAGGTAAAGGTAAAATAGAATTGTGGAGTAATAAGTTAGGGCATAATTGGAAAGAAAAATAGGAAACAATCCCACCATACCAAATCGGTTGTTTCAAAAAAGGGGACTTTTTATTGTTCCGGAACAATGGATTTAATAATACAATGCAATCAATTTTAATGAAACAATCAAAACAAACATTGTTTTGGGATAGCAATACAATACGATACAACGGGGAACAACCACCCATACAAGCTGTTAGGTAAAAAGGAAAGGTTGGACATCTTGTGAAGTCCATTTGAACAATAAAATTGATAGTCAATGCGGCAGTAGCCAGTAGGATTTACAAAAGGGAAATTTTCGTTCCTATACCATATATGAAACTATATTACCAAAATATGTTCATAGTTTGCATATTACCTGCTATGCTAATAGTATTTCTACAAAATATAGACAATTCATTAAATAAGGAATCATTGTAGCTGTAGGCTTTCTTATTTAGGCGCGCTAATATTGGGGAATTAAATATTCTTCCAGATATTTTACAACGCAAATCACGCATTAAAAATTATCGGCTGTTTCGTTTCAAAATTTAGCGACTCTGTTTTTGCGATACACTATGTTTCATCATTTTTTCTAATTTCACAAATCAAAAACGACTAAATCTACTACAATTCTTCTGCAACAAATGCAATTATGTCCAAAATCCCAATTATGCTACAACTGAATGTGAATTGGGATAGCTATGGGAGAATTAGAGTATTTCGAATTTGGGTTTTCAAAAATCGTTATTTGTTTGGATTGGGTGTTGTTGCAAATAATTGGGAATATGGTTTGGAGTTTATATCTCAATTTTGAGGGGTTTTGGTGAAGATTAGACTTGGTTTTGGCTGAATTTCAGATTGAAACTTGAAGAAGAAGGAGACATGACATACATTATGTTGCAGAAATTGTAGAAAAATTGTATTATGTTGTTTATTTTTTTTTGTTCATTTAACTATTGTATGAAAGTTGAAAAAATAAAAACTTAGGATCATATCCGCTATGTATAACTGTTCGCGATTTCAATATGAATTTTAGTATCACCAATGAGAACACAGTTGCATGTTTGTGTTGTTACATTTTATATCAAATTCTGGTTGTATATAAATGTCCTACACTTTATCTATATTTTATCTACAAATAAACTACATGTCAGAGTAAATATATATCAATATGGATTTTCACAACATCTACAAAATCTCTACATTTATTCTACAATAAAATTACATATCATTTGAAAAATTAATATGAAAATACAGAATTTCAATGTTTCTACAAATT